CTCTAGCTAATTCTTTCCTTTCACTTTCTTTTCCTATTGCAATTTCCATTTCTTCTATAATGGCCCTAGTATCAACAACTACCCGACTGTCGCAATATACACCGCTTATTTCCATTCCAGCATTCTGAACGCGATCCTTGTGCAAGTGGGGCAACTTATATTGATTTCCTCATTTGTCTTTCATAACTTCAAACATAACTGCTTCTAATGTGATAAAGCTTCTGTGCAACTTGTCGGGATCGTAGTTCTCGAATTCCTCTTCCACACCCTGTACCAGTTCCTGGATGTTTGTAGGTGACCTGCAGCCGGTTAGAGGCTGGAGAGAGTTATGGAAGCAGAGGTCCAAACAATTTAACTCAGGGCTATTTGGGGGCTGTTGTAGCAATCGGATGTCAAGATAAGTTTGTTCCACAGCTTCTCGAAAAGCTACATCATTGGGAAGGACATGAGGCTTTGCGTTATCCTGTTGGATGAATATTGTTGCTCCCTCATCATCGTCAGGCCACTTATCCTGAATTGCCGGGATAACCTTATTGATTAGATAATCTCTGCACATAGGCCTGGTTACTTTCACTGATGTCAACACTTTTGTTCCCTTTGTTCTGTTTTGACTTGTCCGCTTCGCCTCAGTCTCTTCGACAAATGCCCAAATGTTGATCTTCCCATCGAATGTTAGCTCCTCCTCATTGTTATATTGAGGCTTGGCAACAGCTGTTAGGAACATCACCTTCCCAATGCTGTGAGTGTTTGACACGGTGCGCTTCGGTTCAGGTTCTCCTGGAAGTACATAGTAAATATTCTTCACTCTCGTCATGTCAAACCACTTCTCATCGATGTGAACCATATTCGTCATTGGTTTTAACATAGCCCGAGAAGTTGAGATCGAATTGTCATCGACCATGGACATATAAAATTTCAATCTCGCAAGCTTGTTCTCTAGCTTGAGGTGAGGCTTCACGGTGCTTGTGATGCGGTTGAGCTCATTCAACTGGAACCTCTTATGTAGGGTCGATCGGGCCACACCTAGAGACCATGCCAGAGATCGAATTGTTCTTCTTTTATTCAGTGGGATTGTTGAGGTCCTCTCTAGATCTAACTCCTTTCTCTTTCGGCCGGATCTTCCTAGCTTCTTGCTTGAGACATCTACTTCTTTGCCATCGGCAATTTGCTTTTTAGTCTGTTCCCAGATTCTGTCAACAGATCGTACACTTATGTCCAACAGGTTTGAGACTAGCAGCTTGTCGTCTGGTTGAACAGACCCATCTCTGAGCTGGATTACCAGCAATGCAAAGTAAACACCATGTCTCTCCTTATCTGACAATTCTCTTCTCTTCTCTTGAAGTATCCAATTCATAACTTCATCCTCTTCCTCTTGAGCTTCATCCTCTTTCCCTTCATCTTCTTGAGGCATCCAATTCATATCTTCATCGTCTTCCTCTTGAGGCATCAAGTTCAAATCCATAACTACATTCTCTGCCACTTTGAGGTTCCTCCTCTTGAGGCATCAAATTCAAATTAACACCTTCATCGTCTTCCTCTTGAGGCATCATGTTCAAATCCATACTCCTGCTAGCAATGACAAAAGATGAGTACATCATGGTACCATAACAAGGATATACACACAAAAAATGAGTAGAATGACAGGAGCCTTGCAACCATTACAAAAATGTGAACTACTAACTAAGAAATGTTATGACAGGAGCCTTTGTAACACCATTTCATTTCTTATGAAACTTCCAACTCCTGTCATTTCAGAAAGAATTGGATTTCAACTCCTGTCATGCAATTGGATTTTACTGTATGTATCTTAACTGAATTTTGACCATGTCTTGTTCCTTTCTTGCTTGCTTGCTTCTCTTGACTTCCAATGGGAAGTTACTTTATGTATGTGTATATATTGTCAATTTCTGTAACAGGATTTTGTCAGAGAAATGCATTCAGTGTACCTTCATGTCAAACTAATCCAGTTTACTGAATTTTACTCTAGTTAGAGTAGTTTTGCTGAACTTTACTCTACTTACAGTAGTTTTAACTGAAGTTACTCTACTTACAGTAGTTTTAACTGAAGTTACTCTACTTACAATAGTTTTAACTGAAGTTACTCTACTTACAGTAGTTTTAATTGAATTTTACTCTACTTACAGTAGTTTCTACAGCCATTCACTTGTTTGTTCCTCTAGTACTGATAGAGGTCCCAGAGCTAGTAGCAGTTCCTCTAGCAAGTGCCATATATAACTACTCTACTTATCATCTCATGATTCTGCTCCTGACCTCTTTTTTACTGCCATGAATGAATTTGTCTTATTTCTGCTACTTTGGAGCAGGTTTTTTCTTCTTTGTCTCTGAACCGTGATGTGCTCTGCTAAAGTGCTAATGCCACTAAATCATCTTGTTCTGCTTGGCTTAACAACTTGCCCATGTTTTTTTCCCTTCATTCACCACCAACTTTACTCTACTTACAGTAGTTCCTCTAGTAACAGTTCTAGAGACAATGTTTGTTTAGATCATAATTTCTCTGCATCTACTGATTTTTTCTGTGCCATGTCAAGCATAGATAGGTTCAATTAATTTGCTTGAATTATCAAAATTACTGTCACTACTACTGTATGCTTTGACACTATCGAAATTGATTTAGTGTGAATATGTGCCTTATGTTTCATGCATTACAAATTTGCATTCCGAAAATTTGCAGTCAATAGTCACACACAATTGCTTCCAACACTATCAATCACACAATTTAAAATTTTAATCTATCAGGCACCCATAAATTCTTTTTGGGGTTGTAACAGTGACTGAATTTGAATTTTCAGGATCTTGTAACAGTGACTGGATTTGAATCATTTGATCTACTGCAATTACAGTAACAGAGATTTTTAAATTTGACTGCAAAGCAACACAGTCATTTGATCTACCAGGCACACAATTTTCAGGTAGCAGTACCCTCTTCAGAGATCAAACAGTAGCGCCACGGTCACTTGGATCAACAACAGATGGTCAGCAACAGCAGCACGGGTGATGGAGCATCAGCAGCAGCAACACTGCAAGCAGTTAGCAAGAGCAGAGTAGCAGCACGACGGGCAGGCTCACGGGAGCAAAGTAGCAGGTCCTGCGCCTCACTAGAATCAATTTTCTTGAATTTCTCACTAATACCACTAGAATCAATTTGTTTTCAAAAATTCTGGAATCACTTTGCTTGATTTTCTCACTGGAATCAATTTGTTTCCAAAAATACTGGAATCGTGTACAGGAATCACTTTGCTTGACACTGGAATCAATTTGTTTCTTGACACTGGAATCAAGCAGCGGCGGCGACGACCCTGCCGCACGGGCAGCGTCGGGGCAGACGAGCAGCAGCAGCAGGGGAAGATGAGCAGCAGCAGGGGTAGACGAGCTCCACCGGCGGCAGGGGAGAAGCAACCGCACGGGCGCGCGGGCAGGGGAGAAGGAGCAGTAGGGGCTCGCGCGGGAGATCGAGGAGGAAGCACGCGAGCTCCTGGTCCAGTTTCCCGCGACGCCCGAAGGGGATCATGGCCAGGAGGAACTGCGGCGGCGCACGCGCGGGAGCTCGAGGAGGATCCGCGGGAGCTCAAGGAGGACGCGCTGGAGCTTGAGGCGGGCGCGGGTACGTGGCGACGGCGGCGGAGGACTTCCTGGTGGGCGACGAATCGCGCAGTTGGGCGGTGCCGGCCCCTGTCAACGGCGGAGGAAGGTGGAGGAAGAAGACGGGGATGGAGGGACTTATTTGAGATGGTTTTAAATCTATGAGGGCTTTTTAGCAAAATTACAAATGAACTAAGTCTGCGACATGTTTTTCGGGACGGAGGGAGTACAAAAGAAGAAGAGAAAATCTCCGTCGGGCTCAACATTGAGGAGTCCAAGCGCCTCCCAGCAGAGAGGGCGACCGCCACAGCAAAAGCGGTCCAGCTGGCGAAGGAATAGGCCCATGCCACAATCGACTCACCATCATCAACTCCTCGTTGTCGTCCGAGAGCGGCACGGCAACGATCCTCCTCGGCTGTCGATGCTTGACCGCAAAAGAAAAGGACCGGTGAGGAAATCGGCGCCCATCTTCGTTTAATTAGTCGATCTTGCTAGCATTTTAGTTAATCTATATATCCAAGTGGATGAACTTGCTTTTTGGGGCATGATTGTGCAAAATTTTAATGCCCTGTGTTGTATGATATGATGCTATATTCCTATGTTGCTATGTTGATCTACATAGTGCTTATCACGTTATATGGCTTACATGGACTTGAAGGACGGATATGAGGACCGCCCGCAGATGCTCAACAGCGCAACGGTCCAACAGCCGCCACGCGCCTTGGCATGACTGCTGCGTGCCGTGCTTGGTCGCACCGTGCCAACATGGCGAGCTGGTCTGGTTCCTCCGTGGGTTCGTATTCAGCATGCTGTGAGTTCCACGAGAGGCAGCGGATCAGGATCTCGTCTTCGGCATGCTGTAGGTTCTTCCTTGGGAGGATTGGAGGATTGAGCGGGCGCTGCAACTGCAAAGCCGTTGGACCATGGATCCGACTTGCAATGTACACTCCACAGTGGCACGGTGACTCTCCGGCATGTGCCGATGATGCATCATCCAAATAACAACAGGTCCAACTGAAAATATGCAATGCTACAAAGAGGTCTAATAATCAGAACATTGAACTGACTAGCCTACTTGTAAACCACTGCATAGAGGCATAATAACAAGCAAACCGCACCGCAAAATACCAGAAATGCAACGACATAGTACTACTTAACATACGCTGATTATATAAAGCTTAATAAAGTGCTAATACAAAGGTCCATACATACGTAGGTAGCAAGTGAACAACGATAGCAAGCCACACGGAGCAGGTTGATTTAACATACTGTGCAACTAAGCCGAATCAAGATGCTATATGATCGGCAGAATACTTCAGACATTACCAACACAGGCATCCTCCTGATGCGGCGCAGCCTGCCGCTGGAGGGGGGACAGTCCAGCGAGGCGCACAGGCTGATTATTTTTGAAGCCCAGACCACCCGCGCCCGCCGTTACCACCTGCAGAAGAGTAGGGGGCTGGGCAGTCACTGGGACAGTGCCCAAACTGATTACATCTGAAGCAGAAACCAAGGCTGCCGTTGCCGTTTCCAGCTGAAGAGCCGTGTAAGGCGGCCTGCACCGCACAGTCTCTAGACCAGTGCCCAGGCTGATTGCATTTGCTGCACAGGTGAGCTTTGGATGCAGAAGAGCCGTACGAGGTGGCCTGCCATGGGCAGTCTCTAGCCCAGTGCCCAGGCTGATCGCACTTGCAGCACCGGCGAGCATTGGATGCAGAAGAGCCATATGAACTCGGCGTGAAGCCCCAACCTGTTGCTGGTAGCTGGATATCCATGGCTGCAGGGCAGTTCTGCACCTTGTGCCCAGTGGAGCCACAAGTACTGCAGGCATATCGTGCTGCTGATGGTGCTGCATTAGGCATCCCGCCAGATACCTTAGCTTGCCGTCCGGCATCTGAGTTGGTGAAACCAGCATTCACAGCAGTAGCAACACCATTCGCACCAGGTGCTGAGCCTCGGCCATCCGCCAAAAGGCCATCAAATGCTCCAAGATCAAAGACACGACTCGTATTTGATGTGTGGCCCAATCTTTCAGCCTTCATGATGCTGACCTTCATACACGCCTCGTCACCAAAGGTTTCTTCCTTGACTTTCAGCTTCAACAGAAATTGCTGATAACAGGTCCCATGTATTATTCCTGCGAATCGTGCGTCATCTAGATCCACATTTTTTATCATGAAAAGCTCTTCCGCTGAGAGGCCAATTATTTCCTGGCCAGCTTCTTGGAATGCAGTAGCATTGGTAGTCCCGGTGTAATCCTGGATCTTACACTGAAACAAGTAGCGATGCTCACAATTTTGAGAGCTCTGCTGGCATTTGGGACAATGCCACATCCCATCACCATTATTTGTTACCTTTCTGTTGCAGCGCTTACCATTAACCTCCCTTGTGCAAGCTGGATAAGAAAATTTATCGGTGTTGATGTGTGAAATTGTAGCTTCAACAGTGACCCAATCTGGCTGATCTGATCGCCCCAAGTTCTCGTCCTTGATCTGTGCAACTGTTTTTCGGGAATACATCTTGCCCATGCTTGAGATTTCCTGAGATAAAGAAGTGCAAACCGCTAATTTCCCTTCAGTTATGTACCACTGCATCAGCTTTTCTGCATCAGGCAAGTCTGGATTTATTTTTATCAAGCTTGAGCTGATTGTGGCCACAGATTTGCCGTTGAATTCACAGATGCGGCCACCTTTCAAGGCAAGTATAGGATTAGAACCAGAAATGCACATCGAGTGCAGCAGCTGACCTTCAGCATTACAGACATTTCCCCATAAGGTTATTTCCACACTGCAACCAGACATGTCCTTCAGTTGAAGGGTTTTCTTCTGGGTTTCTGTGCCATCCTTCCGCGTTATCATAACAGAAGGGCTAACTGATGTAACAATCCCAAGCAAGTCAACCATAGCTCCATTGTCCATATTTACTATTTCACTGATCGGTTGGAAATTGTATTGCTGCCAAGGGATGCCGCTGTCGTCACTGCAACAATTTTCTATAGATGTTGAACTATCCAAAATCAGTTCATACGCATTGTTTAAAGGGTTAAACAACTTGTGTGCTGGTTTCAACAATCCTCCAGATATGAAGTACACATTTCCAACAACAAGTTGGTCAGAGAATTGAGCAACCATCGAACCAAAGCATGTTGCACGAATTTCTCCACCCTGTGCATCAAGGAGATCAAAGGATAAGGCTCTCCCGTGCAAGTTATCAGTTTTTGCAGTGACCCTACCCTTGATTGTCCATCTACCTTGGTATGGGTTCAAGGCAGCAATAGGGGTGACATAAGGAGTGCCATTGTTAGCGACAGATCCTCTATTCACATATACTGGAGGTGGCTGCTGACACGAAAGCTCTGCAGGGCATGGGCCAAAGCCCTGACCACTGGGACGAACTGCAGGCATTTTCCCTTGATGAGAGTTCAGTGAAAGCTGCTGCATCTTGGCTTTTATTGTGTTTTGCTTTATCACTGAACTATTAAGTCCACTGAGCGGCAGATTGTTCACAGCATTTTCTGCCCTTGCGGCAATAGAAGAGCGCAAGAGGCCTTGAGCAGGAGAAAATGCCATGTCAGTAACACCTTGCTCAGCCCTTGACCCATGGATGCCTAGACTACCAGATCTGATATTTGGTTGAGCAGCATTGACCTGATAACTTGAAGGACTCCCGATCAGTGTGCACTCAGTTTGCACCACTTCAAGTTGGATAACAATGATGACCCTGAAACGAAAACCCAATATACGTCAGAAATATTATAGAATTGTCAATGGACAAGACATATATAAGTAGCTCTATCAGAGGAGAAGTTTCAAGGAATGGACTCCATTTACTGTTATGGGCTAAAAGTAACAATGTAACATACATCCTAGCAAGAAACCAATAGGATTAGAAGATACTAAAGAGCAAGTTATTGCAATAGGAAAGATATATGTTTAATACTCCCACCGTTCACAAATATAAGATGTTCTAACTTCTTTTCTGATTCGGATGTATATAGGCTTATTTTAGTCTTTATGTTCACTCATTTCAGTCTGTATGTAGTCCATATTGAAATATCCAATACATCTTATATTTATGAACGGAGGGCGTAGCAAAAAGAAAGATAATTTGGGAAAGTAGAGATTGCCGATAAGGGACCCTTATACTCTGCTAAAATAAAATGAAAATAAATAGAGAAGTTTCCTAAGCCCAAGCCTCTCTTCCACAACAGGAAGAGCCCTGTCACCAGATTGTGGAGGCTGAGTGACATATCCCCGAGCTTCAAACGATTATCCTACCCAAAGTATCTTGTTGTGGATCAAGGTTAACATTTGGTATCAGATGGTTAGCAGCAGGGTTTACAATGCTCAGTTAGTGAGCGCCATGACGTGGCTGGCTTCATGACTTCCCCGCCAAGGGCTCTTCAAAGGCCATGAAGACTTGGAAGTCTGGAAACATTTCTAGTGTATTAGGGAATTTGAACAGGATTTGGTAAGAGTTTTGTCAACCGCTTTGGGTGTCACTTTGGGAATGCCACTTTCTCCTGAGTGTGGCACAGTGGCACTTGATCCTGGCATGACCGACCAGTGTGGGCCTGGGCAGGCTCTTGTAAAAGAATGATCCATTCAGGTTCAGGCTCCTGAGGATGGACATCATTCAATCATCAGCAATAGACACAGACTTCACTCCCCTCAACAAGGTGGATTCTAGAAATGGAACCCCAGATGCCAGCTGTCTAGCAAAAAGGGTTGTAATGTTATGGCCTAAAAATATGGCACATCCAACGCAATTGGTATGTAACACACGTCCTAGTCAGGAACCAGCAGTATCAAAGAAGATACTAAAGAAGTAAAGATAGTCAAAGCAATAGGAAAAGACCAGTAAAAAAAGCAATAGGAAAAGATATATGTTAATTTAAAAGAAAGGAGAGATAAGAGTTTGTTAGGAAAGTAGAGACATTATTTTTGGTGGTCAAGTCAAGTCTTCTCTCCCTACAGAAGGGACCCCATGTACTCCACCAAAATCAAGCGATGAAATAAACGAAACTTGTCTAAGCCTCAAAACTTCTCTTCCACGCCAAGGAGGAGCCTTGTCACAGGAGTGTTGTTATGCATGTCTATATACATCATATTAATCTCGACAAATCAAAACAACATGTAATATTAGACGTGTCACAATAACTAGACAAAGAAACTATACAAATCCACTTGGTAACAACTAATAGACACTGGTAACAATCAAAAGGCAAGTTCCCACGTGAATGGGGAGAAAGAAATGAATCTGGAGGTTAGTTTGATAACACAACTGTTGAAGTGGTGGAGAGCATTATATTAAACAGCTATAGTGGTGGATACATAAGGTTTAAGAAGTCTATAGTCCATATTGTGGTGGATACATATTGTTTAAGAAGTCTATAGTCTATATAATTCAAATCAGATTGTGTATAAGGATGCAATAATTAGAATCAGATTGGCATGGTCCCCAATAGGCACTTTCTTTATAGTCAATAGTCAATACACGAGTAATATTGTAACAGCATATACATACTAGTATTCACATTGTCACATGAGCGGATGAGCCATTCTCGAACCAAAAGGCCGGTGTCACATGAGCCATTCTCAAACCAAAAGGCAGGCGTGTCATGGTATATTGGAAAAAAGTTCTCCAAAATGGTATAAAGCTAAACAAGCACGAAGGGTGGCGCAGACATTAAACCACACAAACAGAAGGTAAAACGTTCAGGCAGAAGCCTGAGATCAGGAAAACGGAAGTCCTATCTAGCCAATAAACTTGTGCTGTCAGGTGGCCTTGCATGCAGCAAAAATATATATCTGATAATGGAAGGTTTGTGTGCTCTAATGTACATCAAAATAATTGATTTGAACTCTAAATATAAATCTTTGTTTCCATACAAATAGACAAGGCTAGATCTCACGGCACAGCACAAATGCACAAGTCGGTCTTTTAGTTTTGGTAGTACCGGATAGCTATTTCCTTCCAGATTGGCAGGCAAGGTTATGATAACTGATTTAAGTTGTACCAAATGAACCAGCTAGACTGGACACCTACCCATCATCGCCGTATATTGACCACATAACTCCGTTGCAACTTGCTACTAAAATGTAAAAAGTTCAGTCATGTACACATCACAGCAAAACCAGCACTCGCAAATGCGCATTATTAGCATGTAATGCGAGGAATGAACTACAAGCCCACCGAAAGCGTGCATGCACCAGCCACAAAAGGAGAGCCATAGATCTCGCGGCATACTGCTCGCGCAATCACCGCACGAGGGAAATTAGTACAGGAAAACCGTGCAGAACCCTAGCATTTCCCCCCATTTAGCAGTTAGCACACATATAAAGCACATCAAAACCCTAATCCATCTCGTGGGACAACCAATGCAGATCGCGGGGGGATTGGGCGGGAGAGCGACTGGCCGTCACCTTCGGCCGCAGACGGAGTTGCAGACGTAGTCGAGGACGCGTATGACGGTGCCGTCGCGGAGGCGGCCGGTCCTGACGAGGCTGTCAAGGGAGGGGACGAGGATCCCCTCCTGGGAGTGCACGCCGTCGGAGAGCAGGAAGCGGTACCGATCCGTGCCGCCCGCCGAGGCGGGGGCGCCCACCACCTGCAGCACCGGGCGCAGGCCTCGCGCCAGCCGCGACATCGCCGCCACCGCGCCGTGGGTCAGGTCCACCTCCATAGCGCCTCCCCCCATGTCGCCGCGGCGGTGGAGCGGAGCCCGAGAGAGAGTGGCCCTGGCTTCTGGAAGAAGGTTCAGGGAGAGGAGAGCGTTCACGGGTGCGAATGTGAGGGAGCGAGGCTGTGGAGGGGTTTGGAACTGCGGAGGGGAGGATGGGGACGGGCTTGGGGCAGTTATTGGTTGGGAGGGGGCGGTGGCGTACGAGGGAAGCCGCGGTTGTGTCACGAATTCCGAGGCGGGTCGTGCCGCGGGTGGGAGCAGACGCGTGTGTAGCGCTTTGCGAGTGAACTGTGGCGTGTCTGATCCCATGGGATGCCGTCTGGTTGCTCACAAGCAGGGCCGGGCGCAAAATCCGAGGCCCCATGCGAAACTAAAAAATAAGGTCTTATTTCACAAAAAAGAACTAACAAGCAATTATAATGTATATATATATATATGATAAAAAATTATAATGTATATAATGTAATGTCTTGCATAACAATTGGACATATAAAAAGGTTATACCTATCCAACTCCAGTTTGTTAATTATTTGAACATCCTTATTTTGTAGTATTCTTTAAAATGAAATCTTCAATCATACCCTCGTAATCAATCTTCTCCAACACTTCACTCTTAAGTGCCATGCTATCGTAGCCAAATCATCGAGTCTTTGATGTGTCATAGTAATGCGCATATAGGACTTCAATAGCTTCAATTTAGAAAAACTTCTTTCTGCCGATGCAACTGTCACAGGAATGGTCAACAGAACTCTATATGCAATACTTGCACTGGAAAAACAATCATGCTGCTTTAAAAAATTCAGAATTTCAGTAGGTTCGATATTTTCTTTTGGCATGAAATTTTTGAAGAAACTTCAACTCAACAAATAGATCATTGGCATCAATATCAGATTGTTTATCCTTCATAAGGGTTGTCTCAAGATTAACACAAGAAGATTTCAAACTATCTTTATCCAATGAACACAATGTTTTAGAGGTAAATAAGAAACCAAATATTTTTTGGTAACCTAATATTCGGTCCTGTGATCTTTAACCGAGGAGGTAAGAACCAATATCTAATGAAGTAACGATCCCTGCCAATAATTAATTAGAAAATTGGGAATTAGGAATAGGAACCAAAGTTAATAAAAAAGAATGACTCACTAAGAACCTGAAAGCTAGAGTCGGTCGCCGATCAACTGACGAGACGACGTCAATGAGTCTGAAATTTGAGAAAGGAGACAGGAAGGAAACGGCGACAGCGGCCAACGGCCTGTCGCTTAGTCCGAATTCCGATTGATCTACGGACCGGGGAGCAGGGACCGAGCCAGAGCCACCGAGGGACGAGGCGGGATGAGGAGTCGATGTCAAGGGCTCCAGGCGGCGTGGGAGGAGGGCTCCAGGCGGCGTGGGAGGAGGGCTCCAGGCGGCAAGGGACGAGGCGTTCTTTTCCTGTGTAGGGTAGCCACGATCCCGATCCCTATAGGTTGTAGCGATGTAGTTTTTTTTTCCGGATAACGTAGCGATGGCCTCGTCGCGTGCAACCCTCCTAGCGATCGAGTAGGAGGAGGAGTCCAGGGATCGCGCTCGACGCTCGATGGCCTGGTCGCTATCGCTTAATTGGGCCTGGTCGCTCGATGCTCGGCCCAGTAACGTTAACTATTACTAGACCTGCATAAAAAATACGGCCCCCCCTAGAATTTTGGGCCCTGTGCGGGCCACACCTTTTGCACCACTGTGGGCCCGGCCCTGCTCACAAGGTCCCGCATCACCGAACACAATGCAATGGTTCTTCTCAATGAGTTTGCTAGCATGGAACTGCCGGGGTGGGGGAAATCGCCGGACAATTCGGGAGGTTGTGGCCCTCTCAAAAGCCACTTCCCCAAGCTTTGTTTTCCTTAGCGAGACAAGGCAGGATGTTGTAAAGATGGAGAGGTTAAAGTGGAGAATCGGTTTGAAGGGTTTTGCATGTGTTGCTAGTGATGGTCGTGTTGGGGAACGTTGCAGAAAACAAAAATTTTCCTACTCGTTTCACCAAGATCATCTAGGAGTTCATCTAGCAACGAGTCATTGGATGCATCTACATACCTTTGTAGATCACGAGCGGAAGCGTTCAAAGAACGGGGATGATGTAGTCGAACACGACGTGATTCGAATCACCGGAGATCCTAGCACCGAACGGACGGCACCTCCGCGTTCAACACACGTACGGAACAGCCATGTCTCCTCCTTCTTGATCCAGCAAGGGAGGGAGGAGAGGTTGAGGGAGATGGCACCAGCAGCAGCACGACGGCGTGGTGTTGATGGAGCTGCAGTACTCCGGCAGAGCTTCGCTAAGCACTAAGGAGGTTGAGGAGGTGTTGGGGAGGGAGAAGGAGGCAACCTAAGGCCAATGACTCAAGGTATGAGGTCCCTCCTCTCCCCCACTATATATAGGGGTGCCAAGGGGGGGTGGTGCGCAGCCTAGGAGATCCAATCTCCTATGGCCGGCGGCCAAGGGGAGGTTTCCCTCCCCCCCAAGGCACCTAGGAGGTGCCTTCCACTAGTAGGACTCCTCCCCCTTGGAAACCCTAGGCGCATGGGCCTAGTGGGGCTAGTGCCCTTGGCCCAAGTAGGCCAAGGCGCACCCCCTACAGCCCATGTGGCCCCCGGGGATGGGTGGCCCCACCCGGTGGGCCCCCGGGACCCCTCCGGTGGTCCCGGTACAATACCGATAACCCCGAAACTTGTCCCGATGCCCGAAACAAGACTTCCCATATATAAATCTTTACCTCCGGACCATTCCGGAACTCCTCGTGACGTCCGGGATCTCATCCGGGACTCCGAACAACATTCGGGTTACTGCATATACATATCCCTACAACCCTAGCGTAACTGAACCTTAAGTGTGTAGACCCTACGGGTTCGGGAGACATGTAGACATGACCGAGACGACTCTCCGGTTAATAACCAACAGCGGGATCTGGATACCCATGTTGGCTCCCACATGCTCCACGATGATCTCATCGGATGAACCACGATGTCGAGGATTCTATCAACCCCGTATGCTATTCCCTTTGTCTATCGATATGTTACTTGCCCGAGATTCGATCGTCGGTATCCCAATACCTCGTTCAATCTCGTTACCGGCAAGTCACTTTACTCGTACCGTAATGCATGATCCCGTGACCAGACACTTGGTCACTCTGAGCTCATTATGATGATGCATTACCGAGTGGGCCCAGTGATACCTCTCCGTCATACGGAGTGACAAATCCCAGTCTCGATCCATATAAAACAATAGATACTTTCGGAGATACCTGTAGTGCACCTTTATAGTCACCCAGTTACGTTGTGACGTTTGATACACCCAAAGCACTCCTACGGTATCCAGGAGTTATACGATCTCATGGTCGAAGGAAGAGATACTTTGACATTGCAAAACTCTAGCAAACGAACTATACGATCTTGTGCTATGTTTAGGATAGGGTCTCGTCCATCACATCATTCTCCTAATGATGTGATCTCGTTATCAATGACATCCAGTGTCCATAGTCAGGAAACCATGACTATCTGTTGATCAACGAGCTAGTCAACTAGAGGCTCACTAGGGACATGTTGGTGTCTGTTATTCACACATGTATTACGATTTCCGGATAATACAATTATAGCATGAATAAAGACAATTATCATGAACAAGGAAATATAATAATAATGCTTTTATTATTGCCTCTAGGGCATATTTCCAACAGTCTCCCACTTGCACTAGAGTCAATAATCTAGTTACATTGTGATGAATCGAACACCCATGGAATTCTGGTGTTGATCATGTTTTGCTCTAGGGAGAGGTTTAGTCAACGGATCTGCTATATTTAGGTCCGTATGTACTTTACAAATCTCTATGTCTCCATCTTGAACATTTTCACGAATGGAGTTGAAGCGACGCTTGATGTGCCTTGTCTTCTTGTGAAACCTGGGCTCCTTGGCAAGTGCAATAGCTCCAGTGTTGTCACAGAAGAGCTTGATCGGCCCCGACGCATTGGGTATGACTCCTAGGTCGGTGATGAACTCCTTCACCCATATTGCTTCATGTGCTGCCTCCGAGGCTGCCATGTACTCCGCTTCACATGTAGATCCCGCCACGATGCTTTGCTTGCAACTGCACCAGCTTACTGCCCCACCATTCAAAATATACACGTATCCGGTTTGTGACTTAGAGTCATCCAGATCTGTGTCGAAGCTAGCGTCGACGTAACCCTTTACGATGAGCTCTTCGTCACCTCCATAAACGAGAAACATTTCCTTAGTCCTTTTCAGGTACTTTAGGATATTCTTGACCGCTGTCCAGTGTTCCTTGCCGGGATTACTTTGGTACCTTCCTACCAAACTTACGGCAAGGTTTACATCAGGTCTGGTACACAGCATGGCATACATAATAGAACCTATGGCTGAGGCATAGGGGATGACGCTCATGTTGGGGAACGTAGCAGAAATTCAAAAAATTTCCTACGTAACACCAAGATCTATCTATGGAGAGACCAGCAACGAGTAGAAAGGAGAGGAGAGTTTGCATCTACATACCCTTGTAGATCGCTAAGCGGAAGCGTTCAAGTGAACGGGGTTGATGGAGTCGTACTCGTCGTGATTCAGATCACCGATGATCAAGTGCCGAACGGACGGCACCTCCGCGTTCAACACACGTACAGCCCGGTGACGTCTCCCACGCCTTGATCCAGCAAGGAGAGAGGGAGAGGTTGAGGAAGAATCCATCCAACAGCAGCACAACGGCGTGGTGGTGGTGGAGGAGCGTGGCAATCCCGCAGGGCTTCGCCAAACACCATGGGAGAAGAGGAGAGTAACTTGGGAGAGAGGGAGGGGCTGCACCAAAGGCATAAGGTGTGTTTGGGAGGCCCTCCTACCCCACTATATATAGGGATCCCAAGGGGGGGGGTGCGCCAGCCCCTAGGAGATCCAATCTCCAAGGAGGCGGCGGCCAGGGGAGGAGTCCTCCCCCCCCCAAGGCACCTAGGAGGTGCCTTCCCCTGCTGGGACTCTTC